TCATACCTGTTCAGGAGCACATACTGATTAGCGATCCTGAGCTGCAAACCCTGTCGAGTAGACCTTTCTACCAAAAAGATCCAGCTTTTTATAATTCTTTGCTGTCAGAGTCTGCCCTTATAATCCCTGTTTTACTTGTTCATTTGCTGTAGCAATCAATGGGGATCCTGGGGAAGAGTGATGCATATACAAGAGCTCATACCCATAAGGTGGGAAAAAGTACTTCTTTTTGGTTCTCTTGGCTGTGGGGGGCAGGGAAGTGGACATTTGCCACTGGGCTTTTATTGGCTCCATAATTGCCTCATTGAGAGGTAATGCTGTTCTTGATAGGTCTTTTGTCGTAAGATTGTGGACCAATGTATGAGAGGAGTCCTTTATCAACTCCACTTCTATGCTCAAATTTTGAGCTCCTCTATTCAACAGCAGGAGTCTCTTCCCAGTGAACATAGATCTCAGCTGTGTAAACAATTGGTGCTGAAGAGGGAAGAATTGGGAGAGGACTATCATGGCCAGCCTCCATTTAGATGGAACCAGTAGTCTTGGTGCCAAATGGTAAACAGTGGCTGCACCCATCCCTGTCCGTAAAAAAAGACTATTAATATTTTGATAGCACCCTCTTTATGCTTCACACTATCCAGGAATGTAATAGAGTTATAACATTCATAATAAAAATGATACTTCATGGGATAAAGCAATCTGACAGGGTGAAACAATGTATATATTAGAACCAATTACTGACCTACTGCAGGGGAAAAAAAAATAAACAAACACATTCCCTCCCCTTCCATGTTTTAGTTTAAAAATCAAAACAAAGTTATTTGCATAACATATATTTTGGTTTGAAGCAAATAAACGCTAAGAGTTTTGGAATGCTCAAGATACATTCATCAATAAGAACAATGTTAAGGGCCATAATCAATAAGTTTACAAGGCTGCGCTCATAAGCCATAATGAAATCCATTTCGACTTAATCAGGTTTCCTATTTTTCTGGTAAATATATCACACTTTTGGACTATAGCCAAGCCCTATCTGCTGAGGACCACTATAAACCACTACACAGCAACTTGCATGATCCACACAGCTCTCAAGTCAAAGAAGCATTTTTAGCAAATGCATTCTATAAGGCTAAGATTTCATTAATTTTCTTTTGCCCCTTTTTATTTCCATCTCTATGACCTGTTATTTACATTTCCCTTTTCTTCTTCCTGTCCTTTTTTGGCACTAGAATGAAAACTGCACAGCCACGCTTGTCCCCTGTTAAGGGAGGTACAGCCTCTATAGTGCCCATATTTAGAAAGGGTGTAAATGAGATGAGAAATTATAGGCCAGTCAGCCTGACTTGTCCATGTTATGAAGGAGGGGGTGGGACTTGTGAGGCAGCTGTCACAGTGACCGTCTGCCGCCGCCACCTTCTGGAGCACCATCCAATACTGTTCTGCCCCATGTTTTGCTTCTTCTGGTCTGGCAATGTTTGTGGTCTGGCAGGAGCACAGATGTTCCTGGATCACACAGTCCAGGTATTGAAAGGTCTGGTCCGGGGCTTATGTGTGGGGAGGAGGTTGGCGGTGCAGTGGTGAGATCTGGCCCTAGCATCTGGGCAGTGGCAGGGGGGCTGAATGCGGAGTTCTGACCGGGTGGAAGCCAGGAAGCTTCGGCACCAGCCATGCACCTCTGGACCCAGCAGCAGCAGGTCTAGTGGGTGCTGGAGCGCTCCGGACCAGGCAATAGCAGGTGGCTGGAACCCTATGGGGGACAGTGGTTTAGCACAGTTCAGGAGGCCCCTCGGTCCGGCAAATCCCCTTGTCTGGGACTGGTCAGGTCCCGAGGGTGCCGGATCAGGGAGGTCCAACCTGTATTAGCCTTTTTCCAGTCTTCCAGGTCCTGTCATGTCATCCTCAAGTTTGTAAATGTTATTGACGGTGGCTATAAGATTTCTTCAGCTAATTCCTTCAGCACCCTCAGGTAAATAGCATTTGGCTCCACCGAACTGAATTCATTCAAGTTGTTTAGAAGATCTCTGACATCTTGTAAGGTTATCTTGATCTAAATCCCTTCCCCTTCATTGCCTAAGGTAGCTTTGCTAGACAGCTGGTCACATGTTATTTTCTGTGAGAAGATGCAAACAAAGCAGAGCAGCTCGACTATCTTATCTTCCATTTCTTGCTTTCTTTTACCACTGAACAGTAAGCCCACATTGTCTGAACTTCGATCAAACACTGTTTAGCCTTTGGTTCCAAGCAAAGTGCTTGATTAAGTTGCACCTTGTCTCTACTTACCTAGCCAACAATAGACTTGAATATATTTTTATTCTAGTGGTTTACTGACACAAAAGAGGTCCGAGAGACCTGCACATGTAATTAATACCTCTACATTTCTGCTGAGGAAGGCAGCCCATTGGTTTTTTTTTTCCTTTATTTAACTGCAATTTTTGACCCTGTATTAAGCCATCCTCTGGGAAATCTTCAGTACCTATGGAAAATCTGTGGTTCTGTGCTTCTCTATTTAAAACACATTCTCTTATCTTTGATGGAGTTATTTTTTTGAATAAAGAGAGTCCCTTATTTTAATTCTTAAGCTTCTCCTCATATATTTTTTTCTTCTTTCCTGCTCTCATTTTTACACTCCTAGAACTGCTTTTAACACGTTGAAGAACTCGCTCCCTGTTCAGGCTCCCCATCTGTCTTGACTGAGGAACTTGTTTCAAGATTGATCTTGATAAGTTCAGAAGAAATTAACAGAATGGGAAAAACATGAAGCGATCCATCTCCTATTGTCCAGTCTGCGCTTCTGGCAGTTTGACACAGAGGGGTACCCAGAGCATGGGGTTATGACCTTGACCATCTTGGTTAAAAGCATGGAGTGGCATGCCTGATTGATTCTCCATTATCCCATGGTGGTACTTTCAATGAACTTGTGTTTTGCCATAAATATCAAATGTTTAACTAATAATATATGTCTTAAGAAAGTTTTTGTAATGCTTTAGTGAGAGACCCTTTGAGACAACACTGAATGTGACATGTGCCTTTTTCTTTAAACTCCAAGTTAAATTAAATGTATACAACACTTTGGAAAAGTTACCAATTATAATTTATTAGAGCTTGTTCTATGTAATAAGTCCCCAGTTGGAATTCAGCAATTATGAACTAAACAGATCCCAAAAGCCACCTGTTTTACACTTGAAAGCTCAGAATTATTACTGTATGGTAACACTTTCTAATATGCAACATTAGCCATGAAGGAACTGTGCAATAAAATTTCGGTCATCTTGAATGGCAACAGAAGAGATAGGATTTGCATTATTTTCATTGGATTGTAGATACAACATAAATACTCACTATAACGTCAACAATTATACGCAAAATAATTTTACAAATAGCAATAATCATTCCCCGTACTTTCAGATCCTTAGATGAAAGGCAATGCAGATGAAATACTATTACTATATTGTTTTTGACAATATTTTTATGATACCAATTAATAATCTACTGATAGTTTGAAATAAGATACCATTAACTTTAAGGTATTTAAATAGTATACTCACATATGAAGAGTGCTTTAAATGGTAAAACAAAATTAAATTTTTTTAATAGAAAACAACAATTAAAAATTCATGTAATACCTTTAAGAATTTGAGTCAGCCTTTCAACTTTCATTCGTGGCTTCTTATTAAAAAAGACAAGCTAAATGTGAGCAGCAGAAATGCTAGAGAAATATTTCACCTCAGAGTTCTTGAGTTACAATCTGTTATTTTTAATAGTCCACTTATTTAAAAAATGAACAAACAGCATTCTGATAATTCAACCATTTAATTTTTTCACATGCATAATAGAAGGAAATAGAATTTCAGATATTATTAACTGAAATAAAATACTGAAGAACCTGTTTCTTATCTTCAGCATTTTTATGATCACTATCTTCATAAAAAAAGTTTTACTGTGATTATGGGAGTAATTAAAGGCTTCCCACTGTTATTTTTTTTTCAAATTGAGAATGCAATCATTATCTCTATACAAGAGTCAAGATCTTGTAATTTAATGTTGTCCTATCTGGGGACTGGGGCAAAGGAGTACATGGAAGTCAAGACATAGAGGAGAACAAAAGTGGTAGGGAACTACTCTGGATAGCTGTCACCATACAAATTATCAGGGCTTGACAAACGGTGGCGAAAGCCGCTCGCCAGCCCCGCACTACGCATGCACGCGTCGCCAGTAAACGCGTTTTTCAAGCCCTGCAAATTATTATTTGTTTGTTTATGGGAGCGCACACAATGCTTTCCAAAACAAAAACAAAAACAAAGACACAATTATTTCCTGAAGAGCTCAAAAGCAAAAGACAGACAGCAATAGACTGGAGTTAGCAAGTATTAATATAATATACAGGGTGGCAAAGATGAATGTTGGCAAAATAAAGATAAGCTACAAAACAAACAAAATATTACTTTTGGTATTGAATCAGCACAATTATCTGTAGTAAAAATAATATTAGAAGCCTTCAGAAAGACTTAACTGTGGAGAAGGTAGGGAGCCTTGTGAATGAGCTCATGAAGACTAAAGAACGGACTAAATACTGAGGCTACAGTTACACTATGAGTTTTTCCTCAAGAGGCAATGCAATTTAAGCGTGGATTAGTATTTTCCCGCACTTCATTTGCATACTCTCTTTTGTTCCGCTTTTGTGCTAGGGTGTTTTGTGCAAAAACGGGCAGTGTGGTCGTAGCTGTTTTGTGCAAAAACCCCTTGTTCCACAAGATCGTTATGCCAGTCTGGGACAAGCATAAGGCTCTTGTGCAAAAGGAGGGTTTTGCACAAAAACTCCCCTCCACACTGCTTCTTTTTGAGCAAAAACTTTTTGTGCAAAAAGAAAAGGCAGAAAATATTCTAATGAGATCACGATTTATGCTAATGAGTCCCTCATTAGCATATTTTCTGCCAGAAGAACTGGAAGTGAAGGCATAGCCATAGTGTAGACCAAGTGAGAAAGGTTTATGTGAGAAGTATTGTTGGGAGCAAAATGGACGGAAAAGAGATGATACAAAATGAGATGAGGGAATAGGTAAGGAGTAGTAGAGTTACAGAGGCTTACACAGCAATCAGTTTAGCTGCAAGAGTCTATGGCTGACAGTGGTGGCCTCTGCACTCTTTTCACAAAAAGAAAGAGAACAAAAAAGAGAACATGAAAGTAAAATGCACAAAACCAAAAACCCAACAGAAGACAAAGAACAGAAAAGACAAATGTATACGTTAGGGATAGGTGGTAGCAACAATGCTAAACAGTGGTGTAAGAGGACAACAGCCTATGCCTAACAAGGAAAATGCTGAGTGCTGTTTTCTAAGAAGTATGTTATTCAAGCAAACTAGAGCAAAATATCTCCATGTTTGAAGAAGACTGTCTTTGCACTTTTGGAAATGCACCGAGTGTACAGAACATTATGGAGATGACAAGACTAACAGAAGTGAAGGATAGGAAAAAAGGAATATTCCTTCCACTTAGCACTGAAGAAGACAAACCAAGAATATCCAGAGAAATTTAACAGTAATTCACAAAAGACTTCATTATCTTGTTTTGGTAAGAAAAATGAAAAATAGTTAATATTTTACTCTAAATTTTCATTCCCTGCTCCCCAATCTTCAACTAAGAACATGCTGAAAAATATTAGTCTTTAGTCATACGGCGGTAAACCAAACAGTTCAGGTTTAAAATCCTCCATAGATTTCAGTACTAGATTGGCATCCTTTGTAAGATCTTGATTCAAATTTTCATCTGGTATCATAACCACTTGCATCCCAGCTGCCAATGCTGCTTGCACCCCAAGTGGAGAATCTTCAAACACAAGACACTGAAAAATAAGAATATAAAGACATAAAGGTAAAAAATGTAATTACATGTAGTATCACAAGAAAGAATGGCACATTATATACAGGATCATATGCAAAGTTATGTTCTTGAGTTGAGTAAATGAAATATCTATATGTTTGATTGTGCACTACAGAATTCAGTGAAAGTATTGTTATTGATATTAAAGTATTGTTATTGATCCTATAGTGGATAAAAACAGTTGGTCATACTGTACATGGTTTTCAGTGCAGTTTAAGGATGTTAAATTTAGTTTAATCAACTAATTAACCAGTCAAAAGATTTTCCATCAACTAGTTGATTAGTCAATAAGCAGGGGAGCTGCACCGGGGTTAGCTCCCTGCCCCGGGAACTAACCCTGCTTCACCTCTGCCTTTTAAATGTATTAAGAGCTGGCAGACTCTTAATACATTTAAAAGGATGAGGTGTAGTGGGAGGTGGGGGGGTGGGGGGGGTGGGGGGGGGGGGGAATGAGCGTGAGCCGGGACAGCTGATTCCCAACTCACACTGGGTCCCCCTGCTGCACTTCTGATTTTTAAATGTATTAAGAGCTGGGGGAAAGGAAACCAGCTTTTAAGCTGGCTCCCCCCAGGACTGGCTCCTGCTCCTCGCCCTTGCTGCCTCTGATGGAGGCAGCAAGGTGGGGAAGCGATTAGTTGATGGAGTAGTCGACTAGTTGCTTACATCCTTAGTGCAGTTGAGCAATGTATTCTTGTGAATAGCTAGAAAATAACATTTTCTAACCCACAAAAGATCTGGCCCCAACTGATATGCATATTTTCAATACAGTAGAACCTTAGAGTTAGGAATATCAGAATTATGAACTGACCAGACAGTCAACCACACATTTTATTTGGAACCTGAAATACACAACTAGGCAACTGAACTTTTAAAAAAGAAAATACAATACAATATTGTGTTACATGTAAACAATTAAAAATAAAGGGAACATTAAAAAAACTGACAAGGTAAAGAAACTGTTGGTGTACTAGTTTAAATTAAGAAGATTAACAGAAGCATTTTTCATTTTCTTTTCATAATTAAATTTCAAAGCAGTATTAAGTCTATATTCAGTTGTAAATTTTTGAAACAACCATAACATTTTGTTCAGTTATGAACAACCTCCATTCCCAAGGTGTTTGTAACTCTGAGGTTCTACTATAGATACATTTGATTTTGTTTGCGAACACAAACACCACAAAATGCTGGGCCAGATTCTCAGCTGAACAGAGAGGAACTGTGATAAGAACATATGATCCACTGCCAGTAAGCATTATAAAGAAGTCCAATAAATTATGTTTTTCTTGGAATGAAAGGATTGGTGCTTCTTGCAAAACATGTAAGCACAAGTGGATTCTGATTTCATTCAGCATGCTTAGATGAAGATTAGTAAGAAGAAAACTGTCAGCATGGCTTATTTGGATAGCTGGACGCTCTCCTAGGTTCAAGAACTGTTGCAGTTTTTGACCCATATTAGTTTTTATAATGAACTGTAAAAAAGTGCACGAACCACTTCATATCTTTTCAGATGTTTTGTACTTAAAACAATTTTTTTTCATGCTATAGGAGCTTGCAGTTTTTGGATAACTGGACTCAATTTACAATATAACGCAATTTGCTAGCATAAAAGGAATACATGTCTCTTCTGCTTAATGGCTCTCTCAATTACAGACATAATGAAATGAAAAACATTAACTGGGGCCTGATGCCTAATACCACACCACATGAAATAATTTCTATGAATGAATGTCCATAGCTGTAGTTTCAAAAGAATTATTCTAATGTTAGTTTGTGCTATATTTAAACCTGAAATCCATAACCTGGCCCCACTGAAGTCAATGGTAAAACTTCCGCTGATTTCAACAAAGCCAGAGTTTTATCATACACTTGTAGCATGAATAACCAGTATTAGAAAACAAGAGAGGTAAGAATATCTGAAAGCTTTAAAAAACGTAAGCAGCAGATTCAAATATATGTGCAAATCCAGTGTACCTAGAAATATTATTTGCATGTATCTGTTTATTGCTCAGTAGAAATTTCTAAAATTGATATTATACTCTATTTTAATGTAGAAGGGCTGAGAGAAGAAAAGAGGTTACTCAACTTGTGACAGCAGATGCAAGATGGTTGAGAACCTGACTGATGGTTGGACACGCATGAAACAAGTAAGGGTATGAAGCTTGTCTCAGCCAGGATGGCACTATAAAGATAACAGTGTATCTGTCCTGTCCCTTCTTGTTCATCAAAGTTGAAGGCAAATCATAGAATAAACTTTTCTTCCAAGATAAAGGTCATGATACCATCCACATGCTTTGTTATAAAGTTGTTGTTTACAGACCATTTTTGTTTTTTCTGTAACAGACTAACTTGGCTACGCCTTGAAGCTTCTCAAAGTATGGAAGCCCAGGCTCCATTTTGAGCAGAAGACTATTCCTGATGCAGGAGAAGACGAAGAGGTCCTCTGGTGGGCCCCATTTTAGGGCTAACCTGTGGAGAACTTGAGTGTCATTCATATTGAGAAGTATCTGCTGAGAACACTGGCTGTGGTATTCAGAATACCCCTGAAATTTTGATCTGATGAGATATATACTAATTCAATGCTTTCCTGGCTTCGGTGCACAGGGAGGGGGATCTTGCTCCTCCCTGCTTGCTGATGTAGAATATACAAGATGGGTTGCCCACCATTACACTAATTGATTTGCCCTTGATAAGGGCAAGGAAATGAAGGCCAGCATTACTGACAGCCCTGAACTCTAACAGGTTGATGCAAAGGCTAGTCTCGAGTTGTCTGTCTACACTGAGTCAGTGTAATGAGGTGTGCTTCCCGTCCCATCAGTTATTCTTTACTTGTTAAAGTTATTGATGGGGCTGGGTGACAGAAGGGAACTCCTGCACAAACGTTGAGTTGATCCTTCTACCAGTCTAAGGAGCGTCTCTCTTGTAGAGGACCCACCAGCTGTCTAAGATTTGTCTGAATAGAGAACAGATCATTCTGAGCCAACCTTGGTATCAGGGAAGATGTAGCCTTGCACGATAGCTCACAAAGATGCAAGCTGCAGTGTGTCCCAGGATTGAAGAGAGATTTTTGTTGTGATTTGAGGACTTCCCTGCATTGCCCATACCAGACTTGGCAAGATGATGAATCTGCCTATGGGAAAATAGGCTGTGGCCGTCCAAGAGTGCAAATATGACCCCATGAATTGTATTCTCTGTACAGGAATTAATGTGGGCTTTTTTGTATTCAGCTGCAGACCTAGAACTGAGCAAGGGTCATCTGGGTGGAAGAGCCTTCTTCATAGAAGACACCCTTCAGTAAACAGATGATGAGGTATGGGATAATTAGGATAGCTTCTTGTTGAAGGTCAGCAGCCACTACTCCCAGGACATTTGTGAACAAATGTGGGGAAAGGAAAAACTGAAGGAGAAAGCAATCTGTGTCAGAAATGGTCATGGCCTATAATAAAGCATAAATATTTTCTGTCTGATGAGTATATTATTATATGCAAATAAGCATTTTGTAAATTGACGGCCAAAACCTAATCCACTTTCTCTAGTGAAGGCATTATAACTACCAGAGTTCCCACCCTGAACTTCTGAGAGTTCAGAAACATGTTTAAAAGTCTTAGATCTAAGATCAGTTTCTACTCTCTGTGCCTCTTTGGCACAAGGAAATACTTTGAGTAAAATCCTTTGCCTTGTGAGGAGGAGAAGCAAATTCTATTGTTCCTAATTGAAGGAGAGCAATAGAGCGGGGTCTCTAAAGATGGATGTAGGGCAACTGGAAGGGAGGGAATGAGGTAACATGTAGCTCAATGTTATGGCTTCTATGATTAAATTTGTCTACAGTGATTCACTTCCAAGCATGTTGGATGTGGGTTAGTAAGTCTCCAAATGGGAGGAAAGTGGGCTAATGAGCATAGCTGTAGCTACAGAAGTCCAGGTAGCCTTGAATCTTCAATCAATCTATCAAGATTTGAAGATGGCTTGTTAACAGTGAAGGGTGGTCAGGCAGCCCTCTTTCTCTGAAACCTATCTTTCTCATGTGTTAGGTTGATCTATTGAAGCCAGAAAACTGAGCAGAACGTTATCTCAGTGGCTCATTAAACCATTTTAATTTTTGCAGGTTCAAGAACTCCTGTGTGGTTTCTGAGAACAGTTTACAAGTGTTGAAAGGGATGCCCACACGATGTCCTGTATTTCTTTCAGAAACTCTGAGAGATGAAGCAATGATGCCTCATGCTTAATCACTGCCATAGAGATGAATTTGGCTGCTGTAGACACAGCATTGAAGGAAATTTGAAAAGCAGTTCTGGCTACCAATTACCCATCTGAGATGAGAGAATGGAATTGATCTCTATGTTCCTGTGGCAGATAGTCAATAAAAGCCATGAAGCTGCTATTGTAAAATATATTGGCCATGACCTCCTGATAGTTTATAATCCTGAATTTCAGGGTGCTGACATATGAGCCTTTCCCCTAAAGAGATCTAACCTTTTCTGGTCCTTGTCATATAGGGTAGACGTAGCAAAGTGCTGCCTGCCCCTATCGTTTACTACATTTACCACTAGGCAGTTAGATGACGGATGGGACACTCCTGGGGAACGTAATACTTATTTGCCTGTTTACAAGTACGTGGAATATTGTCAGTTGTCATTTTAGCCAGAGCTAGAAGCAGCTCATTAACAGAGTGTTGCTGACTATAAGATATATAGCAGTTTGTGTTCTGAATAACTGCTTTGCCCAGAGACAAGGAAGAAACAGGTGTTTGAAGGGTACCCTCCTTATCCACCTTTGCTTCCTGCTCCTCAAATAGCTGGTTGGGGGTGTAGAAGCTATTTTATGTTTAGCTAGAAGCCATCATGTATATCAGAAACCATTTCAGCTTTTCTCTCAAGCACGTAGACCAGAGTGAACTTTCTGTCACCCCGTGAGAAGAGGCCTACAGGATGGGCTATTGGTATGTGTTAATTGGGCTGGTTGGGA